CTGCAAGGTATCAAAGCACCTCGCTGTCTTTGCACTAATCAAACATCAATGTAAACAACGAAACTCCTCACCTAGTTTCCAGAATATTTCTGATACAGGTCAGAATCGGTTGGATAATTCAGGTTCTTTATTAATGAAAATTGAAGCATCACCTATCTCTTCCACTCCTGTGTAGTAGTAACGTTGGCTGTTTGCTAATTTCAGACAAGTGTAGTTTTTTTAAACGTGAGAAGTTCTGTAAATCAGTTCAGTGATTTTGCTCCAGATTTATGACTGTCCGTAGTGACAAAAGACAGAGTCCCCTTCAGTTTCTTGCTAGCGTGTGGTTCGGGTCACGGACGAATGATAGGAGTTTACATTTTACCCACTTCCATTGTTATTTGGGTGGAGGTACACCTGACATCGTGACAGCTTGGATTCTAGGCTATGAAGTTTATCGGATTTGGCAAAGGACCGAAGCCACAAAAATTATTACTCCAGTGAATACTTACAGCTCACAAGGCTTAAAACAGGAGTTTTCAAATTTCTCATGTGTGGCCGCTTCACTCATTGTGCCTGTTGTCATCGCAACCCGAAACAAATAGCTTACTATTAGACTCAATCGGTGAATATTCTTCTTGCAACCGTTTAAGATACAGGAACAGTGTATACATCCTGATTGAGACTGACCGGGAAATTTTTCTGTGGTTTCTGAACCAGCTCGGAAACGTCCCTCGTGACGGCGTGACGACATAGTTCTAGCTAGCGCAAGTATCCCTGCTAACTACCAGTACCTGATCAAGAAAACGACGATTCCTTTTCGATTTCCGTTTTAGTTACGAATAGTAATGACTTACACGGACACTACATTATAGCAATATTTGATCCTTCTGTTTAAAAGCAGAGCAATAATATTTATTGCTACAATGGGAGGGGGCAGTGGCATTGTGGATTAGTGGTTTGCTTTTCTTTGTAGGTGTCTTCCAAACCCCACGCACAGCGGAATTTATCCCACTCGCTTCGATGAAACCAATTGAAAACAGATACCAGGTGGTTGTCCTGAAAGTAATAAGAACGGCGTGGTGTTCTTGTACGACCAGGCCAGGGCACGAGACAAGCAACAATGCTACTTGATGTGTACACCTTCAAGCCACGATTCGCCTTGACGAACTTATAATAGCTGACAAGTTTTCAGCACTAGTCGTAAACGTAAATTTATCATTTAATTACAAAGTATTATTATGCACTGTAAACGTATTTTGCAACGTATTACTATTACGACCCTATAAGCTTTACTCAGATATTTGTCGATATTGTGCCTAGTTAATAATTCGGCTGATTGTTGATCCGCGATATGCGACTCCTTACATTTCATTAGGCATTGCCCATAATATTGATGTTGTGTTCTAACAAAACGCGTTCTGTTACACTTTGACATCAGATTTCCTTGCACCTGGACCTGAGTATATACTTTCGCTGCTATACTGTAGCTTATTAGTTTCCAATACAATGACAACG